GGGGGGACAGCCTCCCATCGCTATGGATACCGGGGTACCCGCACGCCCTTCCCACGCCTGAGGCAGCGCGGGGGGTGGCGCGGCAGTCCACGGGAGGCAAGGAGAGAACCGGAGCAGGTTTGCTCCCTGGGGAGTGTGGGGTCCCCCTCACCGCCCCTGAGGTCCCCATGCTGATGCTGGCACTTGGTGCCTCTCTCTCCTCCAGCTGATGGCCGGTGTTCCCAGCAGCGCTCCTGCCTGTCCCAGAGGGGGGAAACACGCTGGGACCCCCAACATGAGTGGTGAGGACCCTCCTCCTCCACCCCATGTAAATCACCCACGCAGTGGGGAAGAGCAGCATGGTCCTTAGGGATGCTGGTCCTGGCCCAAAGGTTCTCTGCCCGACGCCAGCTCCTCCATCATTGCCAACATCAACAAACCCCCCTTTACCACAGTCTTTTACCAAACTTTGGCTTAGGCAAGTCTACAAGTCAAATATTTCCAGGATTAACCATTCCTGGCTGCCCCCAACCATCCCCCAGCATTGGGAAGCTTAAAAACACGAAGGAGCAAACACAGGAGATGTTTAAACAAGGCATTTTGAGATAACGGCTGCGATTTCTCCCAGGAGTTTTTTTGCAGGCAGCCAGCTGCCAAGGGATACCAGCGTGCCTAGTAGTGGCCTCCCTGCCACCAAGGAGCCACCATCCCTGGGCCGTATCCTGCACCCCACAGACCGTTTCTTCCTTGGAAAGAAAGTGGCATGACCTGAAGACCCACACCACCCAGGAGGTGGATGCACACTTCTGGAGACAGCCATGGGGTGAACAGTGTGTGGAGACCTGCTGGCACTGGGTTGCTTTGATTTCCATGGTGAAAAGCCATGGGGAAAAAAAATTTCCCTGGGAAAATCCAGAGAAATACTGCTCAGGTCTGGGCAGAATCCAGCTGGAGGCATCAGCCCAAGCTGCAGCAAGCACCTGCAGGGATGTGCAAAGGGGCTTCTTTAAGGAGAAGACAACTGATAACTCAAACTTAGCAAATACAAAAAACCCCCACACTGAACAGGAAAACATTTAATCAGGCATTTGGCACATTGCCATATCAGCGATTCAAGGGGGAACCCTTACAGCCGCAGGGATGCCCCCCACCATCCTGGCCCTGGACCAGGGCAGCAGATGCTACCTATCATCAGCCAGGCGGGAGGGATGCGGCCAAGCATCCGACTCCCCCAATTTTACCCAAACCTCGCACCGCACGCATCCAGCTCTGCTTCCTCCCCAAGCACTGGCAAAACACAAAGCAGGAGATTCCCCAGCTCGGGAGCTGGCAGAGCCATCCCTTCGCAGAGGAGACCCGCTGCTTGCTTTTTATTAAGGAGAAAAAAAAAAAAAAGAGGGACTGGCTGACTCGCTGCGGGTTTGGGACAGAAATAGCGGCATAGCAGGGACTGACCTAAGCCAAACCACTCTTGCAGGCAGTCGCCCTTCGGGAGAGCTCGCCCGGGCACCCGAGACCCTCTCAGGCTTTGGGGACAGGCTCCTCTGGTGACAGCAGCAGGTCGAAGGGGATGAGGGGCCGGACAAGCAGCCGCACCTCGGGGCCGACAGGGTTCGCCCGCAGGTTGAGGCTCCGCAGCGATGCCATGGTGGCCAGCTTCTCCACTGGCACTTCTGCAAAAGAGAGCACTGAGGTGAGCACCCATCCTGGTGTCAGCTGCCAGGGAATTCAGAGCAGCAGAGGGGGCAAAAGCCGCAGCAAGATGGGCAGGCTGGAGCAAACCCTGCTCCCACTGGTTTCTATGCTTTTATCAAACCAGAAACTTCATCAAATAATATTAAGTTATATGACTATTCAAATGTCTTGGCAAGGTGCAAACACCATGATATTAAATGTGGACACTGCCCTCCAGTTCTCCCAGTACTGAAAAAAACCCCCACTGGCATGCTAAACTGGTATTCAAAGACTTATTCCCTTATTTTATTTCCAGTGTTGCAATGCCCACGAGCCCTCACCAGGCTAATGGGAGAGCACATGCTCTTTGCCCTTGTTGGACAGGCTGCAAAATGGCTCTCGGCCATCGCCAGGCACCCTCCTATTTTGCAATTTCCACAAATTCAGGTGTTTTCTGTTAGAAAGGATTGCTAAAGGAAACCCTTTTTACATGGGAAAAAAAAAGGTGCCTTAACCTGCAGGTCTCTGGATGGTCCCAATGCGAATCCACTGAGAGTAGAGGAATGAGACCCATACAAAAACCTAAACATTAAGATCGTTAAAATATGATAGATTTAGCTTTTTGTTACAAATCACAATATTTTGAGCTTGAAAAGCCCACCTACCTGAGTTTACCAAGAACAATGTCTTTTTAATTTGACCACAAAAATGACAACAGCCTTTTATATCCCCAGCTCTGATTGCTTCTGCCAATACTTGGAGCAGAATTGCAGTGTTGTAATTATAGCTGGGCAGGTGATTATGCAATTTTTAAATGATGAAAATTATTTTATGCTGGAAGAAGACTCAAACACCTTCATGGCTTTTTTCTTTTCCCTCCAGAGAGCAGTGCTATTTTCTGTAATACACATACTTCTTAGCAGCGCATCTCTCTCACCAGGCTGAGCTTCACATGGATTTTTTTATACCTCTTCTTTATGGTGGGTTTGTTCACTGCCACTCCTCCTGTATCATTTTGCATTTTTTCCCCCTTGATGCACAAAAATATTTTTTTTTAATCGATTTTCCTGTTTAATGATCTTCTAAGGCTATGCAGAGTGATAAACCCCCATTTTGCTTAAATTTAGGGAGTTAAGGAAAGTATTTTAGGGAGCAAGCCTTGCCCAGGGTGGGAACAGCCCAGCTCCACAGCTTAATTCAAGGTAAGGAGCGGTGACTCACCCCTGGCATGAAGCGACAGGCAGGGCATGCAGTGCAGCCTCTAGCTATACGGCCATGCCATGGGCGCCTCAATCTCCTCTATAAGCAACCCAAAGCATCGCTTGCCAACTCCCCAATGGATAAGGCACTCGTGTTTGAGCCTGAATTATTCATGCTGGCTTCACCAGTTAAGCAAAAAAAAAGGGGGGAAAAGGCTTTTTAATAATTAAAGCAAACAGTAATTTTATCAGATCAGAATATGATAATAAGTGAGTGAAAAACCTAGCTCCTTTAGATGAAAGGGCTGCCGAAGCATTGGGAGGCATCCGAGGAGATGGATATGAAAGGGCTGCCAAGGCATCTGAGGAGCTGGGTAACGAACACTAACAGCCCCAAAGGCCTCGCAGCTACGTACAGCTGCAAATTGAAGGCAGAAGGACCCTGCTCAGCTCAGCAGAGCCACTTCCCGGTCACATTTTGGCATTACCCACATCCTTTGGTGGGCACCAGCTCCTGCCAGTCTCCTCCAAACTTGCTGATGGAAACCCACTCACTGGCTCCTTTGCAGCTATTAACAAAGACACATTTTCAATGCCATTATCCCAAGTTAAGAGTGGCTCTGTTTGATGCTCAAGAGGAGAAAATCAGCCACAGTTGCCCCCAGCAGCAACCTGCCCAGCCTTGCTAGTAGTCTCCAGCATCCCCCTTGCTGTGTCAACATCTTCTGCATTAAACCATTAATCAAGGAATAAGG